CATCATTTCTGTTTAGAAGATGTGTATGGTTAATTGGGTAATTCATCACCTGGATAAGTCCCTGAGGGTCTTCCCATAGGAACTGTCCCCTTGGAAGTGTCTGGCATTGCCTTGAGGTCACGGCTGGCCTTCCCTCACTGCCACAGTTGATGCCTCAGTCCCTGCCTCTTTCCCAGCTCTTTCCCCTGTGTTATTGCCTTCAGAGCAGAACTTTGTCAGGAAGAGAAGGATGAGTGGACCCCTAGAACATTTATTGAGCTGGGGTTATTGATGGCCACACTGAGCCCCAAGTTCACACAGAAAGGAGCAGAACTATCTCACGAACCTGATGACACCTCATGTGTCCTTGTGATCATATTTGACTAAGTGGCACAATTTAGATCTGCCATTGCTTTAATGTCTTAATTAGAGAACTGTTAGAGTGTTAAAGGTGCCCTCTTTGGGTAAAACATTAACTGGTAGATACAAATGGACTGAACTTTGTTCACCACACACAGTGGTAAAATAAATTGCTTGGATCTGAATTTACAGCCATCATTTACAGCCACTGTCTCTGCAGTCTCTCCAGATTTCCATAAGTGTAAAGCTGGCCAGACTTCCGAGGTGTTTCAGTTTCCACCTCTTGTTTGTTTTATTTAATTTGGTTATTATTATTTTAATTTGGTTGCACATTTTTCTTCTGGTTATTATGAGCTATCTCAGAGCTTACAGGGCTGTGGTAGATAGGGAAAGGCGCTGCGGAAGATCTCGCGATGTCACGGAAAGCCAGAACCCTCTGATCCCCTTAGATAAGACCCTTCCCCATAGATAAAGAATTAACATAAGAATGTAACCCCCCTAACTGAATTCCAGTAACTTTCCATCCCCTACCCAGTAACTGTCCATCCCTTACTTACCATAGATAGTAAAGACAGACCCACGCTGATGTAGAGACCCCTTAGACTATAAAAACCCAAGAGACGAGATAATAAACGCCTTTTGACCGTCCATCACATTGATGTCTGCGTGTGTCATTGGCCCAAGTGGCCCTGGTGAGTGGGCCGCCGTGCTGTTCGTCTGAACCAGGTCGCCTGCCTTGCTCCAGAAGGCAACACAAGGCACAGAAACAGAGAGGGGAAAAAGCTCTATTACAAGTTGTTTTCATTGATAATGTCTCTTATGAATAGATATCCAACAGCTTGCAAAAGAGATCAGCTTCACAGTCCCCATGAGAGGATTGGAGGCTCAGCAGCCTCTCTGTTTGGGAACACTGTTTTTGTGCTAAGCCCCCTACACTCAGTTGCCATTTACTAAAACCAGAAAAAAATCCTTTTGAGTCTTTCTTCATGTTCCCCCGAAGATATACAGTGGGCTACTAGATAGGATAGAGCAGCATCATGAATTTCTGTCATTGTACCCATTTGTGACCCCATTTCTACACCTGCAGTCATGGAAGTTAATGCCAACCTTCACGTTGACATCCTGCCCACTTGAAAACACATGACTGAACTGTATAATTTACATATTAAAACTGTAAATAGGGATGTTGAAAGGTGCAAATAAGATTATAGAAGTCTTACAGCAAGGAAGTTTATGTGGGCACTGTCCTTGTTTATTTGTTCTAATGTCTAGTGTTTAAATATTTGGGCAGACTCAGTCTGGTGGATACTCAGTGTGGGTAGGCCAGTAGTTCCATGCCTCAGCACTGAAGAGTTTTAATATTAAGTTGCTTTATGTATTTATTTTAATGAGCAATTCGAAATTTCTTGTGGTAGGTATTAAAACTATGACTGTAAAAAGGAAAGCAATGGTTTTGTTTATCAAAGAAATGGTGAAATCCCACAAAAAACTCACCAAATATAAAATCTTATAAAGGAAATTAAAATCTTACAAAACCAATTATTTTTGTCCAAATAACAAGCAAAACAGTATATGATAAACCAGTTTTGACCCAAATAATACCTAGTCAGAATAATAAAGGGAAACTATTGTTATTTAAATTTGAACAAACGACATAAGTAATTTATGTTTGCAATTATATCTGGACAGTGTAAGAGACGTGGTTCTAAACAGTCTGGTGGCAGTTTTGTGAAATGAGATCATGCCAATAAAAGAGTATTTAACAAAGATAAGAACTTGTGTTTCTAGAAAGTGAGATAGCAATCAGTGTGATTTCAGCAAAAACAACTCCTAATTTCATATCAGTTTTGCTATTGGAGTTTTATTTCTTAGTAATAGATAACTGTTGATAGCTGAAAGTTATTAGCACAGCTTAAAGTCATATATGTCAAGTCAATTTGACCTTTGTTAATGAGCTTTAATTAGAACTTAATTTCTATAAGCAAAAGACTGAGATTAAAATAAATTAAGTACAATGGAGATAAGGAATTTTATTGGTCTCTTTGTGATTTGTAAGGCAATAACTTGCTCCTTGCTAAATTAACCAAAAGTACAAAGGTAGGCACAAGCCAATGACATTATTGTTGTACTAGAAATGCAGTTAACAGGTTCTGCTGCCTTGGAAGGCTTTCTTTAGATTATTCACAGACATCACATCCAAAATGCAGCCTCCAAAAATGTCTTCATGGCCCGTTTAAATTCTGGGAGAGAAGCTCAGGGCAGGCAGAGACTGGAGGGAAGTGAAAGTGAGAAAGGGCCCAAAAGGAAACTGCTTGTGGCCTTCACCACAGCTGTTTAGAGCAGAGAGAAATCCAGAGAAGCAAATCTGCACGTGGTGGGGAGCTGGGGACTTCAAAAATGTTGTTATGGAGGGTGAATAGAGAGAGGAAACTGTGGAGAGAAATGTGAGATTTAGTTGGGGGAAGATTTATATTTGAAGGGTTTTGCCACAAGGAGAAACGTTGTGAAATAAAAAAAATTAGAAAAGTCACCTAATCCACATCCTCTACTGCTGATAATTACACATTATAATTGTAAATCAGTGCTTTGATATTTTGCCATTTCAATGTAAAAAGGGGAGGAAATCACACAGTTGGCAAGAAAATTAATCTCCACATACTGTACTAAACTGCTTATTTGTCATTAGTGTGAGGAAAACAACAAAAAAATTATTTTGCTGGTGAATTAAGTATTTTTTACTGACAAGCAGGAAGAACTAACTTCATAAATCTTGTTTATTTAAGCTGTCCAACATATGAGACAAAACTTTCAGTCATAGACACCTAAAATTAGCGACCAAACACATTTAGATTGATTTCAGAAGCTGTTGGATATCTGCAGCTCCTTGTTCTTCCATTCAGACAACTTTTTACACAGTTTCCAACTATCTCATCATGGCTGAACCTTAACCTACATGAACATTTGGTGTGGAGGAGGCAAAAGAGGTTTGAATTAATCTTTCTATTGCTTGCTTGCTCAATGGAAATCTTAATGGCACTACAGATTAGACATCTCACATGTCAGATAATTAAAACTGCAGCATTAAGAGTGAAGACATAAATGGATGAGGATACACTGAAACAAACATAATAAAGCAAACCAGAACATTGTGGAGAGAGAAAAAGTCCCCATGGCTTAGTGAGGGTAGAGTTGGGCAGCTTTGGTTTTTTGCCAGATCCTTTTCCGTCCCTAACATTGCTGAAAAATCCCTTCCTTGGCTTTGTGTAGGAAGTGAATCAACATCTGAACGCACACACACACTCTCACCTATACACAAGGACCCAAGTGCATATGTACAGTGGATGTGCCTGTCTATGTGTTTGTATCTCCAGATATTTGTGGATTTTGATCCCCTTCATCTCCTACAGCTTTCTGGCTCAATCCTGCTGTTTATTAGTACTACTAATTCAAACAAAGACCTTGTATTTTCTCTTCTAATCTGGCTTTTTATTTTGTTATCATCTGCTTCTGTCAGTGCTTTCCAAAGAGAGACCAAGGCACGCTGTCCTGATGATCTGAAGATCAGCCATCAAACAGACAGGAGGTTTGGAGAAGAGGAACAATATATAATAAATGTGTCAGAAAAGTCTGTAGCACAAATTATGTTTTGAATAAAATAGCTGTTATAGTTCTAAGAGATCAGTCAGTCTTAAGAAATGATGTTAAACATTTTGGGAACAATGGTGATTCAGCTGAAAAAAATCGGATTTTAGGGTAACCCCATATGAAATTGCATAATATATAATTGTGCAAAGATTTTCTTTATCCTTCATGGTCAATGGAGCCTAAGATTTACTCTGCAATCACATGCTTTATATTGAAGTAATTCTCTTTCCAGAGGATTTTAAAATTAACAACATTGAACTCAGTTAAGTACCTTATCTAGAAACAAAAGCATGAAGTTAAAAATCTGCCTTAGTTTTATGGAATCCTGCCATACTTTCATAGGTGGATTTGGGTCACATATGGGAGAATATGGTAGAGTGAAAAGATATTTAGTTCAAAGTTGTGCCACTCAGTTGACTCTGGAACAGCTTGTACATAAAGAAATACATCCCATGACTATTCAGTGGTGATAATTTGTTAATTTACAGAACAGCCCAGTTTAAAACCACAGAATGAAGAGAAAAGGATCATCCCCCTGCTCTGAAGTGTTTGTCATTCCCAAAGTGCCAAATGCAGAACGGTGAGCAGAGATTTCTTTTCTTTTCCTCTCCCTACCAGAAATGGTACAAGCATCCCCAGCAGTGTCTAACCCTGACCAGGAAAGCTTCGGGTGATGTTTCAGGCACTCCGGGTGGTGTTTCAGCTACTCTAGCTGTCCCCTGGCTGTGCCTGCCTCCCTCTGCCACGCTCCCCATGAGCAAACAGCAGAGACAACGCATTTCTTACTTCCCCTTCGAGCCAGCGAAAGAGTTAATTTTAATACGAACGTGCAAGAATTAGAGTGTATGTTCTAGGGATTAAAGATCAGCTATTATAAATAGTCAATCTATAAGCCAGCGGCCACCAGCTCCCGCTGCACTTTGACCTTCTCTTTATATGTAACAGGAAAGAGCCGCTCCGAGCCCAGCCTGGGGGGACCGGGGCGCTGCGGGAGCGCCGGGCAGAGCGCAGGCACCGGGGCTCCATCGGACATGGACACGCTTTATGGCAGGAATAAGGAAGAGCACCCAGAGCCCATAAAAGCTGAGGTGCAGGGTAAGTGACAGAAAATCTGCTGTAAAACCACCCGCTGTTTTGGTGTTTTCTGATGCGTCAAAATCGTGACTCTTCTTCACCCGAGGCAGCGCTGGAAAGGGAAACTGAGAGAGAGGCGCAAGGGAAATTTGTTTAAAGGACTGATCTCAGATAATATTTGTGACCCTGCTGGGGGATTTTTCTCACTCCATGAGCATTCCTGTGTACTTTTCGACAGTCTGTTTGAACAGGACTCACTGAAGTTGGTGATGAGGGAGAGCCTGGGATTCCATCTCGGCCGCCCCCTCCCCCATGGCTCCGCTCCCACTTTCGCTTTCTCCCCTGTAACCCTTCCCTGCCCTCCCGGGGCTCCGAAATCATCGGGGCTCCAAAATCATCGGGGCTCTGCACCCCGGGCACTCCTCAGTACCAAAGCACCACGACAGGATGCCTTAAAAAGAAAATAACCCAGGAGAAACTGCGGAGTATCCACAGTTCAAAGTGGCTCTCTAGGCTAGGGATGACACCCCGACCAACCCGTTATTTTTCCCGGTTTCTTTTACTTTACAGAAGACTTTTTTCCACTACAGCTACAGGAGAGGTTTGTTGGTGGGAACCCCTGCTTAGTAAATCTTGGTCGTGTTGTTTGTGATATGTAGTCCAAGAAATGGTAGGAATCTGCCATTCCCAAGTACAAAACTTAAAACTTGCAGGGCTTTGTCGCTGTTCAGTTTCATAGCTGAATTGGAAAAGATTTTGTGTCAAGTTAGACAAAGTGTTTTGTTTTAATGCCTTTGAATTATTTCATGCCTTTATGGGTTTATACCTTCCAATTGTTTTTTTTTTTTTTCTCAAGATAACAACTTATTATCAAAACATTTGAAGTGATTTGCAAACAAACAGCTTATCAGGCCTGATCTGTATTATGCAATAGTTTATTTGAACAAAGACTGCGTATTTCAGAAGGTAACGTTATTACACATACAAGACATTACTTCTTTGATAAAGAAAATAAAAGAGAACCATGTCCCCTTCAAATATTTTGGTAGTCCTGAACTCTGCCAGTCTTTTGGCTCCTTGTTACTCAATATGTACACTGCAAATATGTGTCACACTTCTAAAATCATCTGCCATTTAACCCATGCTCTGCTACAGGCATGTGATTTTCTGAGATGCTGTTGTTATCATAGTTAATAAATATTTGGGGATTTCACTGTGTCACTGATGTGTCCTCACCCATTGCAGAAAAGAATAAGGTCCACATTTTTAAAGCTATATAAACATTCTTGATTTGGTGCCCAGTGTGATTTACAGAAATGCTTAATTCCCGCTAAGATGAATTGTCTGAAAACCTCACTAGTTGACCCTTTGCTCCTTGTTTTTCATACTGAAATTATGTCAGAAATTACAAGGAATTGCACCAGAAATTTCAGAAACTAAATTAAGTCCACAATGCTTTAAAAAGATCTTTTTTCCTTTCTTATCTTTCCCAGCAAAATTATCATATATAAAAATATACTAAAGTTCTTACCTTGGAGTTTCTTCTGTTAGAAAGGAAAGTAAGGTTTAGTTTTCTGGGCTCTTCTAGAAAATAACAACAACAACAATGATGATGGTAATGAAAGTTCCTCCGTTGTGTCAATTTTTAATGTACCTCATGTATTCCAGAGCTGTAACCCTAATGGAGTTATGCCCTAATGATGGTGCCCCATCTCTGGAATTGCTCAGGGCCAGGTTGGATGGGATTTTGAGCAAACTGGTCTCGTGGACCTGCCCACAGCAGGGGTTGGAATGAGTTAATTTTAAGGTCCATAGGAGGACATTTCTAGCTGTTGTAAAGGGGTTTTAGCAAGAAAGTGTGTCAACATAATCAATGTGGGGTCACAAACTAAATGATAAGGAGAAATATAAGTTCTGAAGAGCTTTTTATGCAAAGGCAATACCCAGAGCAGGAATTGTGTGGAGAAGCAGTATGTGATCCTAAATGTTCCCTGAGGAGTCACAGGCACAAAGAAGCAAGTCAAGGTTTTTATTTAATATCTGATATGCCTTTGTTCGTCTCTTTAAACCTATTGACATTCTTTAATTGTTATTATTCTGTGAGTTAAGTGGAAGGTGATGCATTTCTTGCAAGGATTTGATGAGGAACATTTCTGATTCAAGACTCAACAGCACTTACACATTTTCAGTACAATATTAATATACTTTATTTGTGTACAAAATACTATATTATGACTAGTGTCACAAAAGCATTTCCCAAATTACACTATATTATGCTGTGTAATCTAATTAATGAAATTTTAGTGGAATTAATTTAGCCTGAAGTCTAAGCTGATGTGCTGAAAGCCAATGCAAATCATATAACCTATAAAATATGTTTATTTCTGATAAGCTTGAGCTTTTTCTGGCACAAGTAGAAGGGTTTAAATGGATCACTGTAAAATATGAATGCAGGAAGGAAAGGTCCAATTTTATTTGCTTCCTGATAATTAACAAATTACATTCCAGCAGTCTCATTTTGTTACAGTAATCCCTGATAGCAATAGTCATGCAGATTGTCACTAGTGCCACATTTTTGAGTAGGGGAAATTTTATTTAACCCAAACTCCAAAATAATTGTATGGTACTGCAAATCTCAACACACCTACAGTCTGTCTGACTACATGAAGCCTCTGCCTTTAGGAAAACTATCCTGGAACTTTCTCCTTGCCTAAATGAATACTGATAACTCCTTTCTGGTTATAGGGCAGCTGCCCACGTGGTTGCAAGGGATACTGCTCCGAAATGGCCCAGGGATGCACACCATAGGGGACAGCAAGTACAACCACTGGTTTGATGGCCTGGCTCTGCTGCACAGCTTTACATTTAAAAATGGTAAGTTGTTGCACATTGGATTGAAAGGAACTCCACAAGCCACATTTTGGTGCCTTATATTGCTAATTCTGTTTGGAGCTGGGTTGGGGTGCTGTGGGTTTTGTCTGCAGAGCGGTGTGAGAGGGGGGAGCTGCTGTGGGGGAGGTCTCTCCACACACCCCCTGACACCCCACCCTTGACAGCAGCAGCTGGAGTGTCTCTGCAGGGCTGTTTGCAGGGAGATTTACTTGTCCTTCCTTCTGCAGTGCTGCAGTTCAGTGCTGCTGCCAGCCCAGCCCAGCACACACCCAGCCCTGGGCAGGTCACTGCAGGGCAGCCTTCGCCTCCCACCCCAAGGAAACCTCAGGGGGTTGCAGTGGCTCAGCCACAGGGACTGTGGTGCCCAGAGGCTCTTCTGCTGTGCTTGAACACCCAGTTTCAGGGAGGACCAGCACTCCCCTTGTGGGATTTGGTTGCAGCTATAACAGCTGCCAGGAGAGAAACTGGGCCACTGTGTCAAACCTCACTTAGAATATTTGACACCCTACAGTCCCTCCTCCTTATGGAGGAAAAGACAGGCAGCTCTCTACCCTAAACAATTCAATTTCTTTTTTTCTTTCAGTTAAAACATTTTTCACCCATTCAGCTGTTACACAATGAGAGACAGGATGGTTTACACCTGGATTTTGTAGCAAAAAATATGTATCTATTTTAAAAAATGAGATTTACTCCTGTTATCCTCTAATCCTAGTACTTACTTTTTAGTTCCCATTTCTGTGATTGGAAGCATTTAATGCCATTGCAGGATCTCTAGCCTGTCCAGCTCTACATCCTTAACAAAATAACCTATAAAGAAATAGTCAGTGTTTTTAAAATTGCCAATATGTCTTACTTACCTAAAGCAAACAGAGCTCAGTTAGTTCAAGTATTCATTAAACTGTTGTTTCCTTCAAGCAATCTGTTACTCCCATAACTAAATGTTGCCAATACAGGAGATTTTTCACCACCTGTAAATTGATTGTATAATTAATCATTTTTGCACACATTGTTTTATCTTCTGGAACAGTTTATCCAAATCCCTTCTTTCCCCTCAAAATTTCCCTAGTATTAGTAGCGGGAGTCAGGAAATCTTGACAAATTCTTACCAATCTCAGCAGCCATAAAGCCTGTAAAACAGGCAGTTGGGGACATTTTTGGTTTTATTCCAAATTATAATTGGCTAAAGGACAGCTGCTTGAGAAACCCTGGCTCTACCTGTGCTAATTTTTTTAAGGACTAAGTATAAAATGTGATTGAGATCTGTTTGTTCCTCCTCAGGTGAGGTTTACTACAGAAGTAAATATCTCCGAAGTGACACGTACAACTGCAACATAGAAGCAAACAGAATCATGGTGTCTGAGTTTGGGACTATGGCTTATCCAGATCCATGCAAAAACATATTTGCCAAGTAAGCAATGCTTTTCCCAACAAGATTTTTCTATCTACTTCTCTCTTCAGCACAGATGTCTCTCTGTTTACCTTTGACACATATGTACAAATACAGCAGTTGATTTGTACATTTGCAATTGCTAAATATTGAAAAGGCCAAGAGATATGAACTGCCTATGGGTTAGTCTAAGGCAAATATCTTAAATTCATTTTATCACCAATATTTGCTGCTTTATTCAATAACACAAGTAGATTATATAAAAAACAAGCATTTTCTTTCTCCAGCTAGTGAAACATTTTGATACTCTGTAAGGAGAAAAAGAAAAACATATTCAACAAAAAAAAAAAAAAGAAGCATCAATAGCTACAAAAATATTAGAAAAACTTTTTGATTAAAGATGGTTTAACAGAAAGGTGAAGTGTAGGCCATCATGTTATCCTTGGTCTTGTAAAATTGGCTGTAGAGATTCACCCTTCTCTCCTTGCCACTGAGCTTTCTCTGGTGACCTCAAACCTGATGTCTGGTAAGGGCACATACACAGACAGTTATTGCAAAAGAGATGATATGTTGTAAGCTGTTCCCCTGAGATGAGATTTTCTTCCCTCTTCCAATAGCAATAGAGGAACTCTGGCATTTGAGGTTCACAAGGGTTATAGCAACTTTGTCTTGGCTTCTAGTGACTGTGATGAAATCATACACTGATAAAGGAAACTGTCAAGCCTACATGATGTCCAATCTTCTTTGAAATCATAACTGTGATATGGAATAACACTTGTAACAAAAATATTCCATTGGGGAGTATATGAATCTGTCTATTTAATGAAGCTGAAAAACCTACCAGCTTTTAGGTAGGAACTGGTAGGCCAAATTTTCCCAAGATAGAACAGGAGAGTGTGTAATTAATGCAAGCTGATAAACCAGTGCCTGTCCTAGAGCTGACAGTGGGAATGGGCCTGGATGCCCATTTGTGTGTCTAAACCAGTCACTTGCACGTCCTTAACCCTCCCCCAGGCCAAGGGCATTGAAGAAATCCATCTCCTCTGCTCTACCAGCCTTTCCAGGGAGCTGGGGACAGCAGGGACAGGCAGCCCCAGGGCTGTGGCACTCCAGGGTCACTCGTGCTCCAGGTGGGGGAAAGGCAGCTCCAGCTTCTGTGGCTCTAATGAAATTTTCCTCTGGACAGGGCATTCTCCTATTTGTCTCACACCATTCCTGAGTTCACAGACAACTGTCTCATCAACATTATGAAAGCTGGGGATGATTTTTATGCTACTGGTGAGACTAACTTCATCAGGAAAATTAATCCACAGACTCTGGAGACGTTGGAGAAGGTACAAACCACCATCTGTCATTCTGGTTCTTTGTCTGCTGATGAATAAATTTCAGGCTGACTCATGAGGATGCTTTAACATGTTCAGGACACAAAATGCTTTTCTTCTACTGTTGCCTTACTTTTGAAATTGTGGTAAAATGAAATAGTGAAGATACCAAAAGATAAAATAGATCTTTTAAGAACTCCTGAGTTAAAACTTAAATCTCATTTAGTTTGGGAAAAGCTGGACTTTGAGCAATTTCACTTGTACATAATCTAGGAAGGTTGCAGGAATAATAGCACAGTCACATGATTATTTTGGGTGATTGCCATTATTATGTATCTGTAGTTATAAAATTATTTACGTCACTAAAAAATCAGTGGGTCAGTTATATGACTACTTTTCAAGGACCTTATGTAAGATTTTATTTAATTATTAAAATGAGAACTTGAAATATTGAAATATATACAATGATTTTTTTTTCTAGCCCACGCTACAGTTTGAGTTCAATTTCCAAACTTTAGATAAAATAGAAATCTTTTAGCTCCAGCAGATTGCCAGAGAGCTCTGTTAAATAAAGTGCTTTCAGGGTGAAATGGGCATTGCAGAATAACTTGTTTAGCTAATCCTCCCTGATGTTATGTGGCTTCAAGGGAGAGGTGTCTCTAATTCAGATTCTGTAACTTGATTTAGCCTTGAATAAGGAGCTCATTTGAATACCTACAGAAGTATTTTGGTTTAATTATTTAAATTTCAAAGCCATTTGTAAATGGGGTGCCAATATAGGGCTGCCAGGGCTAAAAATCTGGTGGTTTTGTGCTGTTAGCTAAGATCAATTTTCATTCTCTTACACACCTCTCAAATCTCTTATTGTATCATTTTCCAGGTTGACTACAACAAATACGTGGCTGTAAATTTGGCAACTTCTCACCCCCACTATGACAGTGCTGGAAATGTTCTCAACATGGGCACTTCAATAGTTGATAAAGGGAAGACAAAATACCTTCTATTTAAGATTCCTTCCTCTGTACCAGGTAAGAAATATGTGTTACTGGTATTTTCTAGAAACTTGTTAGCAATTTCTTTTCTTCAAAGGGCAAGGGTGGTGATGCAGCTGTTCTAATAACCAATGGTGTTCATTTTCTTAATTTCAACTTATTGTGAACTTCATATTAATTGCTTAGCCTGTCTGGGCAAGTGCTATTACAAAGGCTCTTCTTGAGTACTGTGTAAACAGGGTGTTTCAGTGGGAACAAACTTACTTTTAGATGAAGATTCTAAAACAATTTTCTCTATAGGGCAGTATATATAATTTAAAGTTGTAAATTTTAATTTCTTTGTAAATGAAAATTCTCTGCAAATGCTGATACTATGATTATAGTGGAAGCATAATACCAAATAAAACCTAATATAGAGTTAATTCCTCTCTAACCTGGCCAATGCTGGCCCTTGCTGAAATGCTGCCCATTGTTCACAGAGTAAATCCCATGCTCTTTTTCCTTCAAGATCTTTTTTTGGTGTGTGTTGCTGAAAGTCAGCTGCTATTGTGTTGCCTGTCCCTTCTTGTACAATTGAGAGGCTTTCCACAGCCTCCCCAGTTTGCAATTTCTAGCTGGGGCTCAAATTTGGAAACATCTCCTTAGAAGTTAAAAAACACAGACGTATTTGAACCCCTTTTTAAAACTTCTGATTTAATTAAACTTATTTATCCTCCATGCTGGAACTTCTGAAGACAGAAATCAGTGGAATCAAATCCCAGGACAAGGGGGCTGTGCCTGAATGGATCCAGCAGTGACTTCACTCCATTGCTTCCTGCATGCAAAATTCTGTGTTAATTATACAGCAGTAAACAAACACTTTCTTAACAGGAAAATGCAAAGAAAACAGAAAGGAACCAGTTCTTCCCTGCCTGGGAGAAATCCAAGCACAGGTTTGGAATGGAATTTATTAGGAATATGATTTTAATTTTTATCATTTAATTTCAGAACACGAGAAGAAGAAATCTTGTTTCAAGCACCTGGAAGTGGTTTGCTCTGTCCCTTCTCGCTCTCTGCTCCACCCCAGCTACTACCACAGCTTTGGAATCACAGAGAACTACATTATCTTCATAGAGCAGCCCTTCAGACTGGATATTCTCAAAATGGCAACTGCTTACATGCGAGGTGTGAGCTGGGCTTCCTGCCTTGCCTTTAACAAGGATGATAAGGTACTTTTCTTACTGCTGAGCACTGGAATCAGGATGCCAGTGACCTCTTCCACACTGTTCTGTTTTGCATCTGGTTCATTCATTTCAGTAGTCATTTGTTGGGTTTTTTTCAAACCTTGACTTTCACAGTTGCACAATTTTTTTAGAAGCTGTATGTTTAGGAATACTGTCTCTCATTTCTAGAAATTTCTCAAATGAATATCTGATGCTGAAGCTCTTGAGAGAGAGGATAGTTTGGCATTGCTAGAAATACTGTGTGCTAGCAGATAAATTCCAATCTGCACTAGCATCTGAGACAGATCCAGTTGCTCCTGGTCCAAACAAAATTCTGTGTGTGGTGGGTGAGATCTGCTCCAGGTGCATTGCATGTGCTGGAGAGCCCCAACTGGTGGAAAAGCCTGCACTGAACAAAAGAAGAGTCTTTCACTGTGGGAACTGAGGGGAAAACTCTTTTCTGAGGATCTTATTTCCATGTGCTCTGGGCATCAACACATGAATCTTGTTGAGTTACAGGGCACCAGCACCACAGAAACTCTCAACCAAGGCATATTTATTTAACTTAAAAAGAGAGCAGGGTTTTTTCCAGGTTTTTCTGGAAAACTTCAATCCTCAGCCTAGCCCAAATAGTAATTTGCAACAGTAAAATGAGCTTAAAGTTGTTCCACACTCATTTTACTGCTGTGTTTTCTTCAGGTTGGAACCCCTTGTCTGCTAGCAGCAAACCCAATATCCTTCAGTACAAACACACAGGGATTAGAATGTTGGTGGCTACCATTAGAAAACAGTTTTCTTAATAAATCTTTGCTGATTCTGAATGGTTTTTCTCTTTCAGACTTGGTTTCACTTTATAGACAGGAGGACTAAAAAAGAAGTGTCCACCAAGTTCTACACTGATGCCATGGTGTTTTTTCACCATATAAATGCTTATGAAGAGGATGGCCACATTATTTTTGATGTTATTGCCTATACAGACAATAGCTTATATGACATGTTTTATTTAAAAAACCTGACTAAAGACTTTGAAGAGAATGTCAAACTTACCTCCATACCAACCTGCAGAAGATTTGTGGTTCCTCTGCAGTGTGACAAGGTAGAAAGAAAATTACTTTTTAACCTGTTTTCTGATTGGTAATTTAAAATACATCAGTGAATAATTGGTGTGTTATTAGTTGGTGTATTATTAATTGGTGTATTTTTGGTTGCCAGCCCTTGTGTGTAAATTTCTGATTCTGTGATACCCAGAGCTTGCAGGAGGTTTGGTTTTTGGATGTCCTGTGGGAAATGGCAGTGGGCAGCTGGACATGGTTCTGTGGGTTGGATCCTGGTGCTGACACCATCCACTCTGGAGAACAGGGCTCTGAAGAACATGTCATTTTCTTCCCAATGAGATTAATTGTTCAATGCCATCAAACAGAAGCAGACAGACCCACTTGGCTGTTAGCTGCAAGGGCATGCATGAGGTTTTGCACAATCTGTTTCTTACACTTCACTGGAAGCCCACATACAATACATGCATGCTCCCAGCTGGTGCAATGGTTCAATTAAAACTAGAAGATTTCATTTAAGTGTGATATATAGCAGGAAGAGAAAAGATTTTATCTTTTAGTTTAATTTAAAGCATCACTTTCCATCATTGTTTGCAGGGAAGATTTTATACTGCCCAGCAACCTGGGCAAGTTTCTGCCTGACACCTTTGGAATGGATATTACTTTTTCTTTCTACATCCTAGAACATTGCTGCTCTGTTCTTTTCTCAGAAACAGCTCTGCAGCAATGACAAAGGATGTGATGGATCACACCAGCTGTTCTGCAATCTTAAGAATTCAGCAGTAGAACATTATAGAGTATATCACACCTATTTTTGCACTTGATTTTTAGCAGGTGCAAAATCCTAACCTTGGTGACTTGCAGTGAAAATTTGACACCTTGTTCCTTGAAACCCATCTTCATTCATTAAATTCTCAAATTTAGGGTACTTCTGGACCATAGCCATGTGCATCTAAACATTTCTAAGGACTCAGTGTGATTCAAAATAATTATTCTATGTTATAATAAAATACTCTGAGTGTAACAAGATTTCTAATGAAAACCTCAGAATCTAATATGTCATAAATTGTTAATATTAATACCAAACCTGATGAAAAATCTAACTTAGAAGGATATTTTTAGAGATCCATGACATTTCCAGCATTTTTCTCTTTCAGGATGCTGTAGTGGATTCCAATTTAGTCACACTTCCCTCTACTGCAACTGCTGTAAAGGAGAAAGATGGAAGCATCTATTGCCAGCCTGAAATACTATGTGAAGGTGAGATACATCCTTTAAATATCTGGTGCTATATGAGTTTGTTTATTTATTTATCATTGTATTAATACAGGATTCCAAGTGTGATCTTGCAACTATTAATATGGCTTGCAAATCTACTTGTTAAAAGAGAAATTTTAGTTAAGTAAGTCTGTTATAAGTAGTACTTCAAGTTTTGCTGCATTTTATAAAGATTGCTTTTGAAAGAGGATTTTTAACCTTTTGTCAGGGGATAATAGCAGAAATATGTAAATACAAAATTACCTAAGGTGAAAGTCATTTCTTAGAATGTTAGCCTCCAATTTTAGCCCAGTTATAAAGAAAGAAAAAAAACCCCAAACCAGAAAAACTCTCATAAATTCCAGTCTAATGAATCCCTAAGAATAAAAAATTGTTGCCTTTTGAACTAACAGCCCTGGCTTACTTATGGTAGTACCCATCTTCAGATTCTTAGAAATTCAGACATTCAAAGTCTATACAACACCTTTTTCAAGTAGTTCCATGGTTTTTTACAGGGCAAAAGTTCCTGAAGATTGGTGTGTCTCTATAGATGTACATTTGAGGTTTTCTCTTGTCTTGTTTCTAAGTCTTGAACTTTGTTTTATGCAGGGATAGAACTGCCTCGCATCAACTATGACTACAATGGCAAAAAATACAAATATGTCTTTGCAACACGAGTCCAGTGGAGTCCAGTTCCCACAAAGGTATAATTAACATTTATAAAGTCATTGTTTTCCTGTTGGTGGGCCATTCACATGCAAAGAAACATGAATTGCCTAAATTCTCATAAGGATAAGTTAATGCTGTACCATTTCCTTCATAAGGTATTCATAAACTCAGGCTTCTTACTCCAGCTTTATGTTCCATGAAAGTCTCTTGAATAGCTACTGAGATCCTCACTTTTCTGCTAAATTGGGCTGAACCTTCTGTGATGTGCCAGGAACTACAAAGAGAGTAGGAAAAAGAAGTATTATTTACATGTATATATTTAATTTTTTTCCCTTTAGGAAGCCTAGCAGAAAAATAAGATATTGCAATACTACCTAATACATTTTAAATATTAAAACAATATCTAATTTTTATATTTTGCTGGTTAGTTCTCTATTAGAGGTAGCAAATGCTTTATTTACGTGTGCATGATGCCAGGAGACTGCCTGGAGTACAAATAGATTTACAGGGAAAGTTTTTAATTAAGATTTAAGGATTAAATAAAATTAAGATAAATTGAAGATTTAAATGTAGGAGTATTATGTGGACAGACTCACTCTTTATAATTCTTGTTCTGTGAATATAAAGCAGCACAAATTGAAGTCACTGTTGGTTCTTGCATATAATTACCACAACTGATTACAAAATAGAGCTGGATTTCTGCATGATGCAAGAAGATTTATTGCAGCACATCTGACAATAACTCAAACAAATCTGCAAGTTCATTATTTACAGTGTAGATAATCTCTGCTTGACTCAAATATAATAAAAAACACTGGTAGGAAGATCTTTTTTCACCTCAGTTGCACTTTTATGAATGCAAGCACAACAACCTAATCCTTAGGTAAAGTCTGTCAGTGAAAGTGCTGTCATCTTGGCTAGTAGAGAGAATTCTTTCTAATTCTTCCTCCTGTAATTTGAATAGTTTCACTTTTGTGTAAACATATTTTTTGGTTCAAGATCAAAATGGAAAAGAATAGAACTGCATCTCTATGGGTAGAGAAAAGGCCTTAATGGAATTGAACTGAAAATTCCAGGCATCCCCTCTGGCCACTCAGTGGGATGAAAATCCACACTCTGCTCCTTCAGAAAACACCAGTGTCTGCCTCACTGCTTTGATCTTTACACCTCACTAGGAACAGCTTTTCTTCTGGCATATGTACCCTACTGCACAACAGAAGGCCTTGAGCAATATGGAAGTAGCAACAAAAGGAAAATAACTCACAGGATTAGAAAATGGGAATTTTAAATCCTATTTCCTGCTTTACTACAGAATCTCAGTGATTTGGAACAAATCACTTAAATATTCTGTGTCTTGGACTCTCTGCAGTGAGGGACATTACTTTCAGTGAAGGCTCTCTTGTGGCCTGTTAGCATTTGTGAACTATTAAACACCCATAAATGAAAGGTGCAATTGTAATCTAGTGAAATGACATTAAAAGAACATTGTGTGATTATGCAGCCATAAAATGTGACTCCAAAATGTAACATTTTCCAGGTGTTTTTTCTTGTGATGATACCTGCCTTAACTCTGAGCATTGGTCCCCCCTGCCAGCAGTCTGTTCATGCTGTACCTTTGGAAAAAGCTACTACCAGGGTCACTGACATTTTTCTTTTCTTGTCACAACCATGTAGATTGCAAAATTTAATACCCAGACTAAGGAAATGCTCCAGTGGGGACAGGATGACTGCTGGCCATCCGAGCCTGTTTTTGTTCCCAGCCCTGATGCAAAAGAAGAGGATGATGGTAAAATAATGACAACATTCTGAAAGCTGGGGTTACTTGAGTTTTGTATTAAATCTTACAAGATTCAATATTCTTAGTCAAGAAAGTTGGGTTGATGCTTCCACTTTGAGATGGGGTTATCTTTTCTGCTTAGTGAAACTTCTTTACATTTCTAATTCTTCATTTGTGTGTCACAGGTGTTGTTCTCACCTGTGTTGTGAAGACTGATCCAAAGGATCCACCCTTCCTACTTGTCTTGGATGCTAAAACATTCACAGAGCTGGGTCGAGCCATAGTGAATGTGGAAATGCACATGGACCTGCATGGAGTGTTTATACCACAGCAAGACATGAAAACTGAGTAAAATCTGTTTGTTGTATTGCACAGACTGACAAAACCTTCTACTGAATGTGGGATAATATCCTCCAGGAACAGCCTTCTCTTATGATAAGAAATGACTAATTATAACTTCCTCAATATCTACATATAATCTCTTAAAAGAGACAGAAATGACTTTATTACAAATCATTGTGTGCACAACTGGTGTATCACTATTCCAAAAGAAGAATTATCAATATGAAGTGCTAATGTTGAATACAGCTTATGGGGCAAGGAATAGGAGAGAAAGGTAACAAGAAATGTTTTATTTGAGTACAACAAAGCTTTCTGAGCAAATGAAGTACTGTATTCACAGGGTGACACATGGCATGAGTCACTCATGTCTGCAGGTCATGTAACTTCCACGGGCTGTTGCAAGACTGCAGCTGACAATGAAAGTTGTCTCCCGCCAGAAAAACCTCATGTTAAACTATCTACCATGATACCAATAATTCATGGCAATATATTCTCTTGGTGCTTGATTTCTTAAACTCTGCCATAACCAAAGTATTATCCTGAGGTGCTACATTTTTCTTATCCAGAACCTAACCCCTCCCCACAGCTTTTCTAATCATTTCATGGTGTATTTTTAGCTTTTATGTTGGCAAAACCAAGTAACTTTATTGAAATAGAGTACATGGTTATATGTAGCATTCAATTATAATTTAGTGACATCCAATCTTAAACTGTATTTAAATCAGTTTTCCTTGGCAGAATATCTGCCATGGCATTTCATGTAACTAGATGATTACATTGTGTAAAAAATAAGAAGAATTGTTTGTTATTGCCACTATTCTCTGTTAATAGCAGTATGTATGTGAATGAGGGCAGAACCCAGTCACACATGTGCAACAAACAGTTTGGGGAAAGAGTGAAAGATCTAATTTAGGCCTCATCTGAACCCCACAGTGGCTGAAACTAGGAGCTGTTATTGCCATAAATAAGCATTTCCTTTATGTCTGCTTAGGAGCACCCACGTTCTCACATGTGTTTATCCTTGCCTGTACCAGATGCTTCCTAATCAAAGTGCACAACTCTGACTCACAGTCACAATTAAAATGCACATTTCAACATAAAGTTCAAGTTCCAAGCACAGCGTGATTGGTTGTGTTACAGAAATGGCATTTCTTACCCCCCATTATATTCCTGATTTGAGTTATTGACTTCTCTTTAAGTGAGAGATTTTTTTGCTTTGAATTTTATTTTCTCATTGTGGATATCTTTGCTATTGGAGGCATGTTTACTGATGGAGAAAACCAGGTGCACATCCATCCATTTTGGGTGTTCCTCTGGTCTGTCTGTATCACCACACAGCTCAGGTACCTCTCACTTTGACACATACATCCCCTCAGTGCTGCTCACAGTTTCACAGGAAGGAAACAGAATGAAATTGTCATTTATTACCTCCCCACCACATGAGAATCTGTGCTTGGTGACCTGTTTGTGATTATTTAATGTGTTTGTGGCAGAGCAGGAACTGAACCAACATCATCCACAGTTCCTGTAACAACCAGACCTTTGTTCCTCTGCCTAAGTCTTTGCACTTTGTTAGGATGAAGACATAGAGGATATTTTTAATGTAAAAAAAACCCCAACACTGTGGTCAGATCTAGTTAACATATGCAGGTTTGGGCATTCAAATGTTTACATGTTCCATAAAATGGAAATAAACACTTAGTAAGGTGTGTGCAGAAATAGTCACTTCTAGTGTTTCCAAGGCATATTACCATTAGTATTTAATAGAACTTTATCTTCTAAAGAAGGAATTTAATTCCATTTTTGTAAATAATACGGAACCAGTGCTGGAAGAGAAAACTGACTTGTGATATTGGCAAAAGACATCAGCTCTGGGGTTGTTTCTTTTAATATTAAAAAGTTTGGATTTAACAAAGGTCCACAAATACATTTCTAGAATTAAAAGGTGGCAATGAATCAAAAGTCTAACCATAGTTATATATTTTCTTCTGAGAGTTTGTCTCTAGAATTTCTTCTGTAGTACTCACAGGGTTGTTTTTGGGTAATCATAGGTTTGGATACAGGAGTTACTTGACTTCTGAGGAGATAATTTTTACTGGTAGAGATGACAGGATAGGGGACACACTCATCATAAAAACAACCTGTAGTCTAAGCAAGCAAATGTGTTATTTACATTCATGTAGAAATAATGCAGGAAATAAATTATAAGAATTTTTCTTGGGTATGACTTTTTAAATGAGATGTGCCCTATTCCCTTGGTCAGTACTACACAGGATTTGATTAGCATTAAGTTTGTAGCTAACCTGAGGAGAAAACCAGTGATGTAAATCTGCATTTGCTAATCCCAGTATCCTCCTGCAGCAGAGACAATAGGAATAAAACCATACAGCTAATCACAAATTTGTTCAAGAATGTGTTTAGTGGTTGCAATACCAATCTGATGAAACATTTGCCCTGAATATGGTAACACACTATCATTTCAGGCTGACAGAAGCCAGGGGAAATGCAGATATGCTTTGCCAAGTGGCTGCAAGGCTCGTGGGGTTTTTTTGATGTGGTAACGTGGCACGTGGTAATGAGTGTCATTTGGTTTGCTTCTGACACCCTTTGCAGTGAATGGAATCTCAAGGGCCAGAAAGGTTTGATTCTTCTTTTGCATCAATTTAAGTCATAAATTACCCCAACAAAATTCATGGAATGATTATAATAATGGCTTAACACAAATCTAGATGGAATGACTGCAAATAAAAAATAGTAAAGATAAGTATCTTCATTAAAAGAAAAATACATAGTTGAGTGAGAGAACCACGGGTTGCATACATATAATTAATTACCTCAGAGATGCTACAAATGGACCTTGATAGAGTGGTTTGGTTTGTTGTTGTTTTGGTTTGGTGGGGGTTTTTTTGTTAATGGTTTCATTAAATGGAACAAATAACAAGGTATAACAATGAATTTGTTCTCTGGAACTGGATATTATCTGTTACACCTTGTCCCATTGCCCCACATAGGCAGCAGGAGGAAGCAGAAACAGTGTTTATGAGGACAGGTTAAAAACCAGAAATGCAACAATGTTTTCCTCTGTACCAATCTGTGCAGGTGCCAGGGAAACACACCAGTGTCTTTCTTTTCAAATAACCAGGCCACTCAATGACAGCTTTTGCAACAATTTAAACCACTGCTCCCTTGGGTCTGCAATTACCTGAGCATTAATGACAAGCAAAATACATCTTTCCCCTGCAGCCAAGGAGCAGTGTGCTCTCTGCCTTCATCACCCTCAAAGAGAGCTGAGAATGTGTCCTGTGCATCCTCAGCCTACACCTGACATCCTGCATAATTACACCCAAGCAAGAAAAAAGGGGCCTTCTAGTATTTGTAAATGGGCATGTATGACAACAAGTGTTGCAGAGCCACTGGTGTTTCATGCACATTGCTGTGGGTTTGGCCTTCTGTCCTACATCCTCTGCTCCTAAACTCCTGCTCAGAGCTGCACAACAGAGCTGCAGCTCAGTGCTCCTCCCTGTGACCCCTCTCCAGTCAGGAAGCACTTCAGCAAGGGCTCAGCTCTGAAGCCTGGCTTTAGTCTGAGATGGCAGTATTTTTTACAGACCAACTGTGATAAAACTTATCTTTGATCAAGAATTCTGAAAACACTGGCCCTTGGCCAGACTCATCTGTTTCTTCAGTTGGAGCTCAATTAGAAGACTCTACTTTTTCATGAACTCTGTCATGAAATAACCCCACGAGCCTTGCAGCCACTTGGCAAAACATATCTGCATTTTCCCTGGCTCCAACAGGGCTGAGCACACTCTTCACCCAGGCCCTGGGTGCAGGCTTTGGAGCTGGGTGATGGGTGAGGATGTCCCAGCTGCAGTCTCCATCTGCACAACAAACCAGCATTGTGAAAGCACAAGGCTGCCTTTGTGAAGGCATTCATTTCCTACAGGGTCCTTTCCAGACACCCTGCTTCATTTTCTGAGTGGAAAAATGATTTGGAGGCACCATCAAACCGAGTGAATGATAGAATTTTGTTACATTTCACTGAAATGCAAGTAATAAAAGTAATAAAAGCATGTGGCCCACCACAGCTTTAGTAGATCAGACCCTCTGAAGATGCTGTTTTCCCAGTGAAGGAATGGCAGCAGGACATCCATTTGGGTGTTCCAGAGGCTGGCAGATCCCAGTGCCTGTCAGCACAGGGAGCACAGGGAGCTGCTGTGCTGGTCCCTCCCAGCAGCATCAGCTGGGTGTCTGCTTTACAGCAGATCACAGTTTGTGAAACACTTTCACTCAGTGCAAATAGTTTCACTACTTTAATGTTGGATGCTGTTAAGAAAGCAGATGGAGTCAAGTAATCTCTTAATTTGCAATTGAGCACGATAATAAACAGCCTAAAATTTATCATGTGAACTGTCGTAAAGAAAATATTTTTTTGCTGGAAAAGGCCACATTTCCCGTGGGCAGCTGTGGAAAGGGAGACAGCCACAATGAATCTTGCTGTATTTAATTCTCATTCTCTTATTTTTCTTTGTGCTGTAACATTCACCTTCGGCTCATTAGAGAATAAATAAAAGACCAGTTTTACGGGATCACAGAATCAATTAGATTGGAAAAACCTCTGGGATCATCGAGTCCAACCTATGACCAAACACCACCGTGTCACCCATGGAGTGCCACTTCCAGTCTTTTCCTTGGACATCTCCACGGGTGGTGATTTCACCACCTCCCTGGGCAGCCCGTTCCGATGTCTGATCACCCTTTCTGGGAAGAAATTTCTCCGAATGTCCACCCTAAACCTCTTGTCCTGTCTCTCGTTGTCTGGACAAGAGTGAGATCCCCCCGCGGCTCCCTCCTCCTGCCAGGAGCTGTGCAGAGCCAGAAGGTCCCTCCTGAGCCTCCTTTCCTCCAGGCTGAGCCCCCCCAGCCTCTTCCCCAGCTCCGTTCCCTTCACTGGACCTCCTTTAGCGACATTCCGAAGCCGTGAGGAGACCAAGCCGAGATTTCCGCGGGCCGTCCCCGCCCCGCCCGCGGAGGGGCCGCGGTGCCCGAGGCCGCCGGGCCGGGCCGCCCCCGCGGGGCGGCGCGGGGAGATGATGCCGGGAGATGATGTCAGCGGCGGGCGGGCGCTCAGCCATGGTGTGAGGGCAGGGACTGAGCCGGCCCGGCCCGGCCCGGCTCGGCGGCGGCAGCAGCACCATGTCGGGCCCGAGCGCCGTGTCCGACCCGCAGCACCCGGCGCGGCTGCTGCGGGCGCTCAGCTCGTTCCGGGAGGAGACGCGGTTCTGCGACGCGCACCTGGTGCTGGAGGGCGAGGAGATCCCGGTGCAGAAGAACATCCTGGCGGCCGCCAGCCCCTACATCAGGTACGGCCGGGCCCGCGGCGCGGCCCCCGGGCGGCCGCTCGGAGGGGCCGCGCTGCGGGGAGCGGGGCCGGGGTTATGTAAGGAGCGGGATCCGCCGCGGGTGAGGGCGGAGGAGCCGGGGAGGGCCGGCGGGGCGGTCTGCGGACCCCGGCTGCGCCTCGGCCCGGAGTTGGCCCGGGCGCTCAGGGAGGGTGTGGAGTCTCCCTCTCCGGAGGCATTCAGACCCCGGCTGGACGCGTTCCTGTGTCACCTGCTCCAGGCGGGAGCTCCTGTCCTGAGGCAGAGGAGCTGGGCTGGGTGATCTCCAGAGCTCCCTTCCAACACCCGCTGTTCTGTGGGAGCAGCTGCTGGGCCACCTCCCTCCTTCCTTCCCTCCTTCCTTCCCTCCTTCCTTCCCTCCTTCCCGTGCCGCCGGGCCCCTCCGCAGGAGCTGTCGCGTTCTCGGCATCACACCGCTGCTTTCCCAGCTCTGAGAGGCTGTGTCAC